GACCCCAACGACAGAAGACGAGCTAGGGAATTTCGTCAGTAGCGGCTGTAGTTCTGGCATCGACTCCACTTTGCATCTGGTGTTGTCAGGGAGAATCTTATTTATCTTGCCCTGCATTGTCCAGCACTTGTTAATGCCAAAATGAGCGCGGGCAGCAAGAAACGTTTTGTGCCTAGCTTTTGTCAAGAACTCCGAAATTGTGATTCCCGACCCCTTAAGCGCACTCTTGCTGTCCCAAATCAGACTACGATGCTCGCGACACCTAAACCTCACCAACACTGGTCTACTTCTACTGGACATGGTACCAAGCCGATGACAGGCAAGTATGTCTGATTTTGCCACATCAGTCACCCCAATTTGGTGGGATATTATTTTAACGATGGAATCTTGTAGCTGCTCCTCCTTGGTTTCAGGCATGCCGTGAAAGAGCAACACCTTACCTCGCATGACATTCTCATGCCTGTCATAGCCAAGAGACAGGAAATCAAGCTGTTTCTTAAATCCAGACAGTGCTTTCCAGACGAACTCCTTGAACTCGGCAAACTCACGAGATAATGTGGTGATATCCAAGGTCTTTGTGTTTGTGGTAGCCTGTTGCAGCCTCACTTCATATTCCTGCATACGTGATTCAAAGAGTTTATGCAGTTCCTCCATGTTACTCGATATACTGGCATCCATTCTTTTAGTGATGTGATGTGATGAAATGTATTGTTATATTTTGTGATGAAAAATATAAGTGATGAGTGCAGGCGTAAGTCAAAAGCAATCTAATTCATGAATAAACTACTTAATATCACTGTATATAATTTAAATTTAGAAAAAACTCAGGAGCTGCTTTCAAATATGTATGCACTTTACGCCTACCCACGACGAAAAAAAAAAAAAAAAAAAAAAAAAAAAAAAAAAAAAAAAAAAAAAAAAAAAAAAAAGCTCAAGCTTTTCTACTCAAGTAGATGTGATTGAGCACCACTTTCATTTAATTTTTGTGGTTAAACTTCACTATGTGATCATTGTGTCCGTGATGGTAGAGTATACACGACCAATATACGGTTTTTCGTTATGCCATTAAATACTGCGTAAATAGTGCCAAATTAGTGTAAAATAAAAAATAGTGCCTCTTTAATTTAAGAAATAAATCCCATTTTTACTGTGTACGCTAGCATGACGTCAAGCTAGCGTACCCATGGCCGTCCTCAAGAACGGCATATATTTAAGCAACGAAATTGACACACAAAAATTGTTCGCAAATAGTACCCTGGTTTTACAAAATTTCATAATCAATACTCTTAAAGGACCAAAGATATTGAACTAAACATTCTTAGCTAGCGTCAACCTGGCGTACCCATAATAGTTCTTATAGAAAATGAACTTTTCTCGTTATCAATTCTATATGTATAAATAGTGTGTCAAATGGTGCCTCTAACAGTAAAAGTATTATAATCATAATTTTGATTAAATATCTACAAAAATTAACAGACGTATTGATACGGCCATAGTCATGAAGTGTACCTTTTTTTTTGTCGATGGGAATTGCATTTACGCACCGGACCGCGCGCTGGCTGGGCGCGCGGCGTGTGTGGGACTCCCTGGCGCGGAACAACGCCGGTCCTACCCACTAAAACCCACCGGTACCCTCCTACGACCATATGGGAGCGTTTCAGGATCGGCGCACCTGTGTGCGCCAATTCACTGGAACGCTCCCGGGCCGGCCCCGTCCAACGAGTGGACCGGGAGTCATGAAGTGTACCTAGTATTTAAAGGGCATGGTTCAAAAGTGATAGTCGATTTCCGGCAGCAACGAAATATGTCATTTGAAAAGATTGTTACACATATATTACTAACTGTCCCAGCAAACTTCGTACTGCCTTAAAAAAATAGGGGTTGGTCGCAGAAGGGTGAAAATTTAGGGTTGTATGTATTTTTGGATGATGTATCATAAAAAAATAAAAACAAAAAGAATCGTCCAAAATAAAATTAAGGGTAAATTAATTAAGTAACCAAGCGCTCGTTCCTTTTTTAAGGAACTGTCAAAGAGGCTCACTGAAGCGACTGGTGATCAAAAGGCTGGCAGCTATCTAGGTCAACGGATCAGCATTGCCATCCAACGTGGCAATGCTGCCAGCCTATTGGGCACCATTCCTGACGGCGGCGCTGGGGGTGACATATTTTTTATTTTGTAATTTATATATATTTATGTAATTAAGTAGGTTAAGGTTATTTGGAATATATTAGTAAATTTTTGTAATCATGTAGTTTTTAAGTATTTGTTGTTTATATGTAAATATATAATAAGGGTAAATTAATATTAATTACATTAAGGGACCACCCTTAACATTAGTTATTTATTTGTTCGATTCTCAGACCTACTGAATATGCATATAAAATTTCACGAAAATCGGTCGAGCCATTTCGGAGTAGTTCAATTACGCACACCGCGACACGAGAATTTTATATAAGTATTAGAAGATAACATGAACAGGTGCTATTATTTTTTTATTTATCTCAGATTAATTTTATATCTTTTTAAGAATTGAACAATTTTGTAAGGATGCTGTCCCCGTGTCACTAGTAACCACATATAATTTTTAGTGTGTGGCGGTGAACTTATTACACCAATTATTAATTGATTCTTCTTGAAATAAAATACACAAAAAACCCCTAATAATGTCATGAAAGATGAACTAAAGTATTATCACTGCTTTAAATATATTATGCCTATTGAATATAAGTTTTTGATGCTTTGATAACAAAAATTAGATAAAAATATGTAGTTGCCATTTGCCAATCAATAATTATATAATTTTACTAGCTATCTCAGCGAACTTCGTACCGCTATAAAAAAATAAGGGTTGGTGGTAGAAGGGTGAAAATTTAGGGTTGTATGTATTTTGTATGCTGTAGTATAAAATAATAAAAACAAAAAAATGTCCAAAATAAATATTTAAACCCCTTAACATTTAGGGGGATGAAAAATAGATGTTCTCCGATTCTCAGACCTACTGAATATGCATATAAAATTGACGAAAATCGGTTGAGCTGTTTCGGAGTAGTTCAATTACGCATACCGTGACACGAGAGTTTTATATATATTAGATTAAAAAACGGGGATAAAATAAATTCTAGTCTTTTGGCAAACGATATACGATAGGCTAGTTGACCCTTTTTGGAAAAAGGTTTTAAATGGTTAATAAATGTCCTATTAGACCGAAAAAAATTTATTGTATTTTTTTGAGACCTAGAAAGCTACAAATCTTCAATTTTAAAATAGACTTTTCATGGACATACAAAGACGCTGTCGGCCATTTTAATCTATAGATTATCTATGCTATGACGTCGACGGTAGTAAACAAAAACTCGTAAGCACGTAGAAAATAACCTATCTGAGTTTATAATAAAAAAAACATGATTTCTAATAGATACCACGAAAAATATAGTAATTATCATTATTGTATTGTACGAGAATGTAAAAAAAAAACCTTGAAGACTCCAGGAAAGTTGTGGATTAAAGTGCCGAAAGAAATTAACCTACGCAATACCTGGTTAGAACTTGCTAAAAGTGATCCTGCAACTTTATCGACTCATAGTAAAATTTATTTTTGCGAAGATCACTTTGATGTAAGTATTAATTGAATAATATTTTAAGTCTCTTCATTTATTAACAGTTTTAATAATACAAGTTTTAAAGTTATGTATCAATGACATTTAGTTGTTTACTAAAAGAGACGTCACAATCATGGCGGATGTGGTGAACAGCGTTTTTAGTGTTTAAAAAGTATAGACTAAAAATTATTTTTTCAAATTAAATTTCAACAGCAATCTTCTGCTTTTATGAAGTGAAATCGATATATTTAGGTTCCCTAGATCAAATACTTTAAGAAATAAACATTTATTTAATACAATTCGACATGAGTCAACTAGCCTATTAAATGCACTATATTTCATAAAAAAAATGGAGTTTGCCGGAGACTAATTACCCTCCATACCAATTTGAACCGTCTCCTTTAACTTCGACCCACCATTACTTAGTAATTATAGATATTATACTTATTTATATTATAGACTTATTTATATTACCAGAAGAATCATTTTATCACGCATTTATTGCAATAAACTTTCCGTTTGTTTGCTCCATTAATTGCATAAGTGTTTACATTTTAGTACTAAAATTATTTTAGAATATAATCATTTCATATTAGTATGTAGTAGAAAACTACAATTTTCATTAATAAATAACATTTACATTTACTTTGGAGTTCAAGACAGGTTTATAGGTTTAAACGATTTTTTTCGCAAACTTATTTCATCAATACCTACTAAATGTTAGGAGTGGTAACAGCTTAAAAAAAATGGCCAAGCGCGAGTTTGCCCTCGCTCTATTAGGGGTCCGTCAGACGAAGGACTTGAGTCTGGAGACTTTGTTACTTACCATATTATCCCGTTATTTAAGCTACATAATATCAATGACTTACGAAATAGTTTGTTTCCGAGCTAGGCTTGACATTGCAACAAACCGCGAAGTAAAAATAATTTGTTTATTTCCTCACAACTAACAAAGTACCTAAGTATTATCGGACAAATTGATTCACGAACCATTTACCCGATACATCGGGATAAATCGACAAAAAAACACTTTCTGAAAATAATGGGTAATTGTATTATGACCAGGAACTGTACTAATATGGATCAAATAACCTTTGTTTTCAATGTGCAATAGATCATCTTGTTGATAAAATTAAAAAAAAAAGTTTGAATTCTGTAATCACTTTGAAATTCCTGAATCTAACAGAAACTCGTTTGATTTCTTGATATTAAGAAAAACCAGCCAAGTGCGTCCGTCGAACAACAAACCGCTAAAGGAAAAATCATTTGTTTGTTTCTGGAACTCTAAAACGTTAGTTAACTCATAGGGAAATCTTTATAAGATAAAAATACTTATTGCAAAACAATAACATAAAGAACACGGAATTCGAAACACGGCAAAAATAATTACAGTTGCACAATGGACGGTCTTATAGCTGATCAGCGAAATAAAAAGATCTTCTAATTTTCATGCCATAAAAAATAGTTTAATTGAATTATCAAATAAATATTCGGTTTTGGGCATGCATTTTACAAAATACCAAAATTCCAGTTCTGTAACTCAATCCGTTTACGATCTAGGGACCCGTGACATACGGACGGACAAACTGACAGACAGACAACACAGTGATAACAATAGGATTCCGTTTTCACCCTTTGCACGGTTTTACGCACCCTTTTTAAGCACTATACCCTGTCTCCGCTCCCTTAAAATTTAATTAGGTAACTATTTAACTAATACTTTTCAGGCTCATAAAAATTTCGACATACCAACTTATTTATAAAATAAGATGTGTTCGAAGGTGTAGCGCGTTAACAAAGGAACCTGAGCATTGAAAGTATAGTTATAAGTTTTCATACGGTGTGAACTGAAGTATTTCTACTGGAAGAGTCCTTTGATACGTCATCAAAGAAAGTGATAATATCCTCAGGAATTGGTGGGACGTTTATCAGAAACTGTTGCACGGAACTGTAGTAATCCCTGCATGTCCAAGTGTCATCGTGCCCACCGCCTGGCAACACTACCAACTTTTTGCAAATGGCGCCACATCTCATGTATAGTTCCTGCGCCATTGATGGTGGCACCAACGCGTCGTTCGACCCACATAACACAAGCGTGGGAGTCAATATCGAAGCTATCTTTTTTGCAGACATGTACTGTAACAAAATTAAATAGGTAGTTATATTAATCATCATTAGGTATCCAATATACTTTTAAATTATGATTTTTGTATAAACGATCTCCGTGGTTTGAATGGAATGTACGCCGGTTTTCGAGGGGTCGCGTACTCATCATAGGTCCTGGTCCTGGGTTCGAATTGCGGTAGGGTCAAATGTTTGTATGATGAATTGTTCTCCAGTCATGGCTGTTTATATAGTTGTATAAAAAAAATATACAGGGTTAATTTTAAAACAGCAACAAGCTCTTAGGGGGTGATTCTACCCATCAACAGGAACATCTTTTATTATGGGACCAACTCTGAAATCGCGGAAAAAAAAACAGCTGTTTCATACATTTTATTAGATTCGGGTGACAGCGGAATGGTAACTCAGTCGCGCAGATTAGTAGCCACTGGCGCATCTGCACGACAAGGACGGCGCGGGCGGAAGGATAGAGCCGACATTTCCATTCAGAATGGTAGTATAAAGCGTTACCAATTTGAGAAAAAGTACAATATAATTAAAGGCGCCCCTAATTAACCAAAAAAACTTACTTATGGTACTAACATTAGCTAAAATTGCTATTTAATCTAATTTAATTGTTATTTAACCATACACGACGTTGTATTCTTACAATGCGGGACAAAAATAGTTGTGTTCATTAGTAGTTTAGACTTTCGAGTTTAGTAGTCTGCTCACTATGGGAACGTAATACAAACTTTTTTAACGTATTTATAGCTGGCCAGCTAATTAAAGACATTCGATTTGCTTAGAAGAAATAAAAAAAAATATTATTATTATTGAAATTATCTTTATTACACAATATTCGTAACACAATTATAAAACTTTCCGGCACGTATCAATATTTGGTCGCATGTCCTTTGGCAGAAATGACAGCACGACATCTCTTGGGCATGGAAGTGATCAATTTTTTACAAGCTTCCACCGGAATTTACTTCCAAGCTTCTCTAAAAGCTGTGTAAAGTTGATCGATGTTTGAAGTCCGTTTTGTCTCCACTGTCTTCTTCATCTAGTACCACAAATTTTCTATTGGGTTTAAATCAGGACTGTACGGGGGGCAATCCAAAACTGACACAGACTGGTTCCTTAAAAAGTCTTTTATTGCTTTTGCAGTGTGTTTCGGATCATTATCCTGTTGGAAAGTCCAAATGACCGGTAAAGGTTGCTCGGCATAGGGCAGCATGGCTTGTTCTAAAATTTTCATGTACTGAAATTTATCCTTGTTGCCTTCTATTTTCTGACAGGTCCAACACCAAGTCCTGAGAAACAGCCCCAAACTTTGATATTTCCACCCCCATGTTTAACTACTTTCTTGGTACTTTGGATCCATATCTTTGTTTGGGGCGCGTCTAACACATTGTTTTCCGTCAGAATTAATCATATTAATTTTTGTTTCATCAGAGAAAAGTACGTGTTTCCATTCTCGTTCAGTCCAGTGTACCTACATATTTTTTAGCAATTGCTAATCTTGCCTTAACATTTTCTTTTTCAAAAGTGGCACCTTCCGAGACACTCTGCCGTACAAGTTTGCCTCACATAGTCTCCGTCTAATTGTTGTTACAGACACACCCATCGACCCTCCTGCACCAAACAACTCCGAACGTATCAGTTCTGATCCCTTGAACGGATCTTTTTTTGCCAACAACACCGTCTTACGAGTCTTCCCGCAGAGTAGTTTTTCTTATTCTCGGTTTTCTTGGTACGTTTTCGGTCGTGTTGAACTTATTGAAATGTTTTATAGCATCCATAACCATGCCTTTAGAGCAGTTCAAGTGGTTTGCTATTTTTCTGTATGACCAATCTTTATTATGAAAGTTGAAAATAATCTTCCTAGTGGACGAATCGCAACTCTTGTTTTTTCCCATATTGCTGGGTTTAAAACGTATTAATTTTAATTGAAGAACTAGGTTTTATATGTAATATCGACGATACATGAAAATACGCGGCAAAACAAAGAAAACCGGAATGCAGTTTTTCTTTATTTTTTAAAATTCAGAACACAGCTTTTAGTGTCTTTAATTAGCTGGCCAGCTACAAGTACGTTAAAAAAGTTTGTGTTATGTTCCCATAGTGAGCAGTGTCTAAACTACTAACGAACACAACTAGTTTTTGTATCACATTGTAAGAATACAACGTCGTATATAGTTTAAAACAATTACACTAGATTAAATAAAAAAATTAGCTAATTTTAGTACCATAAGTTTTTTTTTTTATGTTATAGGTGGCATACGAGCAGACGGCTCACCTGATGGTAAGTGATCACCGTCGCCCATGGACACTTGCAACACCAAGAGTATCACAAATGCGATGCCGGACTTTAAGGAAGGAGTACGCTCTTTTTTTGAAGGTTTTTGGGTCGTATTGGTCCGGAAACACTGCTGGCAGTAGCGGATTTACCAGTAGGCTCAGTAGGTTGGAGCCTAGGGCGGCAGATTTAAGGGGGCGGCAAATTTGGCCCAAAATCTACACAGAAAAACGAGTGACAAAAATTTTAATATTTTAGTAATGCACAGTATACTCAACACTCTTACGTCCGTAATCCGTATATAAAAGATTATTAAACGCACTGTAAAATATAAATATGTACTTATGCGATCATGAATTTTTAAAATATTCCATTAGCGTTTCAACATTAATTACAATTTAAATTTAGTAATTTTTTAAACTAACGGGGAAAAGCCGACGTAATGTGGACGATAGAACACAAATCATAAAGTTGCAATTTCAGAATAAATATAATTGTGAACTAGCGTATTGAATTTCAAAGGTCAGTAAGGGAGGCAAAAATTTAATAGCTTATTAGCGGCAAATTTGTAAATCCGCCACTGACTGCTGGCGACAATATATTCCACAGTTTTGTCGTACGTGGTAAAAAATTTCGACAAAAACGCACGGTTGTGGATAGCCACGCATCAAGATGATGGGGATGAAATTTTTGTCGCGATGTACGATTGCGAAATGCAGCAGCTGGAATTAATCCGAACAATTCCTCAGAACACTCCCCGTGATAAATGCGATAGAAGATGCAGAGTGAAGCTACATCCCTACGCAAAGCCAAAGGATCAAGCTGATTGGAAAGGTCCTGGTCGTCGACGATTCGAGCCGCTCGCCGCTGGTTGCGATCCAAAGGGAGAAGCTGGTACTGGGGTGCCCCCGCCCAAAGATGAGAGCAATACTCCATGTGAGGCCGGACCTGTGCCTTATAAAGTTGCAGTCGGTGGGTCGGTGTGAAGTACATTCTCGATTTATTGAGCACACCAAGCTTCTTAGAGGCCAATTTGGCCTTGCCCTCTAAATGATCCCGAAACTGGACGTCGCTCGATATGTCAACGCCAAGAATTCCAATACTAGCTGAGGCAGTTAGAGGAGTGTTCTCAAAAAGAGGAGATACGATAAATGGTATTTTTTTTGCGGTGAACGCGCATACTTATGTCTTCGTAGGGTTAAATTGGACTAGATTAAGTCGGCCCCAATTCGTTACTTGGTTTAACAAAGTTTCGAGTTCAGACACAAGTTTGTTCCGGCACTCGATGACGTTTTCCCGTGATGTGTTGGCGCGGCCAGTATACAGAACATCACCCGTGCTGTCATCTGCATAACAATGAATGCCATCAATTTGAAGCATATCATTGATATGAAGAAGAAACAGCGTAGGTGATAGCACACAGCCTTGCGAAACACCAGCGTTTACGGATTTGGAGTCCGAGCATGTACCGTCGACTGCGACCTTGATGCTCCTGTCCGCAAGAAAGCTAGTGATCCAAACGCACAACTTTTCAGGAAGCCCATAAGAAGGAAGCTTCGAAAGAAGCGCTTTGTGCCAAACCCGATCGAAGGCCTTCGCAATATCCAGACCGACCGCCAATGCTTCCCCCTTGGTCTCGATCGCCTTTGCCCAACGATGACTCAGGTATACTAGTAGATCACCAGCCGAGCGACTCTGACGGAAACCGTACTGGTGGTCACTGATCAGCTGGTGGTCCTCTAGGTACCGCAGGAGCTGGCAATTTATAATGGACTCCATTATCTTCGAGAGCAAGGAGGTGATGGCGATAGCCCTATAATTAGTAGGGAGTGAGCGGTCGCCTTTTTTAGGAATCGAGTGCACTAAAGCTGTCTTCCATGAGTTCGGAACGACACCTAAAGAGTAGGAGAGCCGGAAAAGACGCGTTAGTACCGGAGCCAACTCAGGAACACATGTCTTCAGCACAATTGGTGAAATTCCTTCAGGCCCGTTCGACTTGTGGATGACAAGGGAAAAGAGTGCTTTACGCACTAAGCTTTGTGTGAACCGGATCTCCGGCATAGAGCTTTCACACCGCGGGATGGTCGGCGGTATGTATCCCCTGTCATTTAAAGTCGAGTTAGACGCAAAGAGTGAGCATAAAAGATCCGCTTTCTCTTTTGCAGTATGGGCCATTGATTCGTCGCCAGTGTGCAGGGGTGGAAGGGATGGCTTACAAAAATTTCCTTCAACAGCCTTGGCAAGAGACCAAAACGCGCGGGTTCCAGAGGGAAGTATTATTAAGCTCTCACCAATTACTCTTTTGCAGGACCTGGAGGCCAAGTTATACTTATTTTTGAGATCGCTAGTGTTGTTAACCCCGACCGCCGCTGCGTTTGCCCAGATCTGATAACACATCTGTTTTTGGCGAGATGCCAGTTAACAGTAGTGACCAAACCAAGGCTGGGATTTGCCACCAATGGGAACCACAGAGGAAGGAACAAAAAGTTCCATACCCTGAAGGACAACATCGGCGACAGAATCAGCAGCGACGTTGGGATCATTCTGCGAGAAGCAAACCCGGCCCCAAGGGTAGGATGAAAAGAAAGTGCGCATCCCATCCCAGTCTACTGACTTATAGTGCCACACACGACGACAGCCAGCAAATTGCGGCCGCGGTGGGTAAGTGAGTGGCACCATACTCCGGATTAGACAATGGTCCGAGGAGCCAAGAGGGGCATCTACGGACACT